GCTCCATTTGGACAGTGACCTGATTATTCATGCTTGTAAATGATAGATAGCACTTTTATGTTACTTTTATTCTAACCAAGCCAATATATTTAGGGTTCACATCAATTGTATCTGGTTTTGATGTCTATGAGTTGGAATGCCTCATTGACGAGGATCCTTGTTAAATTTATCTGTAATCCAATGAAGCAGATAATTTTGTGATCTGGCAAACTTTTATGATGCTAATAGTAATTGCCAAGATACTTCACAAGCTTCTGAAGGGTGGACTGCTAGGATATTTGCTTAGATGTTTGATTTGCTTCTATAGCTGCAATGTGTCAAAATCCCTATTAGAGTTAGTTTTTTTTTCCTTTTTTAAAGTACTTTAAGTTTCCATTTTTGGGAGATTTTTGTTAGTGAGTTACTTCTTAATTATACTGTTTCCTGTTCTTGGGAAAACACATTCTTTTGGTTTCCTGTTGTTGTATATGTTAATTTGTGTTAATCTGGCTTATTTAATGGGGGATGGTTATACCATTTATAAGAAGTGAGAGTAGTTTGGACGAGAGGAATGGAGCAATTCGCAAAACTGTAAGCTACTGGTTTGGAATTGGAGCATAATTCTCAGTCAATACATCCTAGTTGTTTTTGGTGTTTTTTCCTTTTATGCTCCTGGCTGGAGTAGGTCATTGTAATCTCCCTTTCAGATTTCCCGGTCTTCTTTCTTTTGCATATGGTCCTTAATGATCCATTAGTTCACTAGTGACCAATATTCTTTTTTTTTTTTTGTGTAATTTCTAACCTATGCCGACGCCACACTTGATATTTGTTCCGTATGGAGCTTATGCAGAACTTCTGGTGACCCCAGACTCATCTCTCATCTTTGTTAATTGATGTTTATCGTTAAGATGTCTGTTAATGGATGGCGAGAATTAACTTACCCATTAATTATCAAGTGATGCATTTATATGCATATGCCTGCAGGTGGATTTCTACATGAAAGCATATGTCTAATAAATAAGTGGGCCTATATTCTAAATTATTTATTTTCTAGGTCTTCAGATCTCTAAGAATAGTAGTACTTGAAGAATAAAAACAATGGATCAGTCTGTCCTTTTTGGCAGTGCCTTTGTTTTTGGTTGTAAATAGTCTTGGCTTACATCAGTCACACTGTGTGCTTAAGACTTGACATTCATCATCTTCCTCTCTGTTTCACCTCATACATATTTTGAGCAATTTGTTCTCTAATTTTCATGTATAGAATGCTTCCAACGCTTGTAAAGTGAATGATTTTAGCTGTTTGGCCTTACAATTCTTTATCTGTTGTTAAGATACCTATTTATTCCGTATATTGCAGGAAAGAGAACAAGCATTACGATCATTTAAAAGTGGTGCTACCCCAATCTTGGTAGCAACTGATGTGGCAGCCCGTGGTCTTGATATTCCTCATGTTGCACATGTGGTAAACTTTGACCTTCCAAATGATATTGATGACTATGTTCATCGAATTGGACGGACAGGGCGTGCAGGCAAAACTGGTTTAGCCACGGCCTTCTTCAATGACAACAATGCTTCTTTGGCAAGGCCATTAGCAGATCTAATGCTAGAAGCAAATCAAGAGGTGCCTGCTTGGCTCACCCGATATGCTGCTCGTTCGTTTGGGGGGAGGAACCGACGTCCTGGGGGAGGCCGCTTTGGTGGGCGTGACTTTCGAAGGGACTTATCTTTCAACAGGGGTAATTCAGACTACTATGGTGGGGGCAACAGTGCTGGTGGGTATGCTGGTTCTGGTGGGTATGGTGGTGGCAGCGGCTACGGTCCAGGTGTTACCAGTGCATGGGATTGAATACTCACATTTTTTTAGTACTTTTGAGTGTCTAATAGTATTAGAGCTTCCCCTTTCTTTCATAGGAACTACTTGTTTTTGGTCTACATTATCATTTGCTAGTAATCTTAGTGATTGTCATTTTATACCTTAGTAGGAGGGTATTATCACTATTACAAGGGAGGGGGATGTAAGTTTGGTGTCGATGGGGAAGGAGTAGAAGCCGCGTGTATCATGTTAGTAGGTGTTGGTGAAGGAATTCTAACCAAATAGGGATTACTTCTTTCTCCTCTTTTGCCGTCATATTTTGATCATTTACTGTTAATTTTGTTAGGTAATGGGTTGCAGAATATGTAGTGGGAGAGAGAGTGTTTCATTTTGGCAACATCCTTTTTGATCTCATAGACATGTTCTTTCCAACCCTCTTGTTGGTGGGGATGGATTGTTGAGAGGCTATCTTTACCGTTTACAAATGAATATTCCCCTGTGAAAGGAGTTTGAATGAACGACTTATGTAATATTTTGGTGGTAACTGGAATAAGTAGCAAGCTTTGTTGGAAATGGACGATTCTTTTGCTGCTGGCTAAATGTGTTGGCAATGTGGGAATCATTCCTCATCTTTTGTTGGATTCCTGCTGGTTTAAATCTTATTTTTGTATCAACCCTTGCTCTAATGGTATCATTTCATTGCATAAGTCTATCCCGAAAATGAAACTCTGGGTCTGTGAGATTAGACTTTGCAGTTAATCATAATGCCCGTTACCTCTAATGACATCAAATCCAATGATGGCCACAGCTTATTCTAATGATTATGAAGGGAATGGGGTACAGCATTGGTTATGATGGGAAGAGAAAACATATTGCAATGGTGCAAACGGAAAAGAATAGTTGCCAAGCTATAAGACCTTTCGTCGGGGAATTTGGTAATTGCTCAATTGACTTGCATGCATCACCTAATAAGACAAAGTTATGAACCGAAGGACGCCAAAGTAAAGGAAAAGAAGAATCGAAGCAGAGCTTGAACAAATGGGTTTTGCAGAAGAATGACAAGTGTAGATTTGTTGGCTAACCTGTTTGACAATTGCAGACGAGCCGAGAGGGCAAGTACATTCATCATCTCATCACAATCCCCGGCCCCAATGCAGTTTGAACAACTCTTTCTTTGTTAGTCAAACATCTAAAATGCCCTTGTCATAGACTTTAATTATGATAAATATTACAATAAAAAGTTGATTTATTTGTAGATTTGAAGGGATGGCGGCAGGGGCAGGCCTTGAGGATAACTTCTTATCTCGTTATTCCAAAGGTAAGAAAAAAGGGGAAAGAAAAATTTCTCTATTTTTACTTATATTTTTTGGTATACTCATATTATACGATGAGATAGTTTTTTCTTATTTTATAAAAAAGATGTTTAGCCATTAACAAGGAGGGAACTAAAGGGGGATGTGGGTTCAATATCTTCTCCCAAACTTCTTAAAAGCTTTTCATAACTCTATTTTAATTTGATTTAAAGATTATAATCAGTGAAATCAAAATTTCTATTTTGATATTCATCTTTTGGTTGAGTTGAAAAAGTTAAAAGCGATTAAAAAATTAATATTAAGTATATTAAATTTTATTATTATTTTTTTATTTCACTCGATCACATGTAGCATTAGTTTGCTTTTTTAGGTATTTTTACAATGTGTTGGGTGATTAATATTTACTTTTTCTTTATTTTAGTTATTAAAGTTGTCTTTATTTGGATATACCTTTTATTATTTCGAAACTTATTATTTTTTTAGTTATATGGAGTATTTTGGATAAACCATTAAAAGATTTTGAATCATTTAAAATTAAAATTTTTAAGAAGTTAATTTTTTTCAATGTGTTTAATAATCCATTTTATAAAAAAAAATTAAAAATAAAAACAACATCTAGTTTGTATATAGTTTTCGATGTAGGAGGAATCGTGAAAACAAAAGAAGAGGCCTCACATCACATGAGCCATAGATTTATGATTGGTAACAAGGATTAAACTAAAGTACAGACCTAGGTTGTCCTAAACTCCAACTAGGGAATATTTGTTCTAACCTCATTCATCATCTCCTTTTAATATTGCTGATACCTAGGTTGTTGTTCAATATTTGTCCTACAACATTTCATTAGATTAATTTTCAACTCAACCCTCATCTTGTGAGATTCAACACACATCACTCCTTTGCTCAAAGTAGAATGAAATAAAGTCAAAAGAGTTGAAATGAAATAGCTCTTAAGGGCAATTATGAGTTTCTTAATACTCATAATCCTCCCAAGTATTTTGCCTTTTCCACTTCAAGATAAGACTTCAAACAAATTTAATTCCAAGATCTCAAGAAACAAGGCCAAAAGGTATTAAAATATGTTATCCATTCCCAAAGCTTAATTATGTTGCTATCAATCCATTGTATTTTCTTTTTTAAAGATTAAGATGGATTTATTCAAAGAGGAAAAATCCTTAAAAATTACAAAAGAAAAGTAGAACTCAACTGCAAGGGAGAAGTCGAGTTATTGCTTAGCACGACTTACAAAAAAGTAGCCAACAACAAAACTTAAGAAGAAACCAAGATTCACAGCAACCTGCAGCCTCAAAATCTATACAATTGTAAGTTACTAAGTGACACTATAATCATGCAGTAGGCTATTCAGATGATCATTTTACATCAAGAAAGGTAAGAAAGATGTAGAGGGTTCTTTTGGTTAGGGAGAGGATGTGCTGCAATGAATGAATTGAGATGCGTTAGAGGCGGCAGAGAGAAAGAATGGAGTAGTCCTTAAAGCACAAGTGCTTTGAGTGGCAGGTGGTGAGAGATGAGAAAGGGTTGACAAAGCGACGGATAACGATGAATGAGAAAGGACTCAATAGAAAGACCTTGTGGAGGAGTCTTGATAGAGCTTTATAGTATAATCTCTGCTGGGTTTCTAATCCTTTTCCCCCCAACTTTCAAGGCTCTCACATTTATACTGAATAGGATCACTTTCTTAGGAGTTGTTAGGAAAGTACGTTCAATCATGAGAGAATGTGCTTGTTATGGAAGAATAGTTAAGAGCGGTTTACGGGATGTAAAAGAATGATCACGTAGTTGGGTAGTGGACGTAAGTTTTTAATAAATGGAGTAGTGGCCTTTGATAGTGTGTCACATGTATTTTTAAGGAGTAAAGAAAAAAAAAAGGGTAAAGCACATGTACTTCAAGGAAAGGTTAAGAGGAAGTCCTCTTAACTATCTTCATATTTGAGTCACCAAGCCAAACTCTCTAGAACATCCCAAATGTGAAGGTAACTCATGAACCCTGCCACTTGTTCTGAGTTACTTTCACTTTCCCTACATATAGCCGTTGCACGCCGAGTGTTTATGTGCTTGTAACGCTCTTTGGGTGCTTCTACGCTTGGAACACTTTTAGGAGCTTTTGTACTTGGAACACCCTGGGTGTTTTTGTGCTTGGAATGCCCCTGGATACTTCTGTACTGGGAATGCCCTTGGGCGCTTCTGTACTTGGAACGCCCCTGGGTGCTTCTGCACTTGGAACCCCCCTAGGCGCTTCTGCACTTGAAACTCCACTAGGCGCTTCTGCACTTGGAACGCCTATGGGTATTTCTGTACTTGAAACACCACTAGGCGCTTCTATACTAGGAACTCCCTTGGGCGTTTCTATAATTAGAACACCCCAGAGCACTTCTACGCTTTGAATACTCCTGGCTTGGAACACCTCAGGGAAAATGCCCCTGGGTTTTTCTAGGCTTGGAACATCCCTGATATAATTATTTTGTAAAACCAGAATTAGGCATCTACATTTTGCCCCCTGCATAAAAATTCTTATAAGAACTTTTATACATAAGGAGATGCTCATACTAATAAGAAAGACAATGCTTATATATATATATATATATATATATATATATAAATCCCAAGGGTGGTGAAGCTTGAATTTATTTGGTTATTCCAATCATGTTCATACGTCAGTTCCTTATAGAAGAATGTGCTGCTCCTAGCATTATCAATTCCATGCCTCCACAATTTCATGAAGCAAATTGTACATGTATTGGAAAATGCAAAAATAATAATAAAAAAGTTTAAGATAAGGGAGGAGAAACAGAGATTTGTGTAGAAAAGTAATTAGATGTAGAAGAAGATTTCATAAGAAAATTTAAAGAGTTAGATTCCTATTAGAAAAATAATTTCTGAAATCTATAAATACGAGAGAATAGTTTTATAAAAAATTCACAATCAATTCTTAAAGGCTCTTTTTAAATCTCAAAGGCTCTTCTTTAAAATTTTCAACAAGTAAGTTTTCTTTTCTTCTGTATTTTTTATGCATATGTTTAAAGGTGATTTTGTGCTTAGAATAACTCTAGACGCTTCTTTATCTAGAACATCTAAACCATTTAGAATAGTTTGCCCCCTGTAGGAAAATTTTATTATTAAAGTTTCATGCATAGTGAAAATATTTAAACCTCGAGATTTAAGGATTTTATAAATTTCTCTAGGGGAATTAGTTATGTAGAAACTCACAATAAACTTCTAAGGCTTATCACTAATTTTTTAGTATATATGATGCACAAAGAAGAACAAATAAATAAACACAAGATATTAATGCATAAGTAGGAATGGTAATGCGTGAGCACTTATCTGCTTGTTTTTGTGTCATTTGTGCTTGTAGAAATTTTGTTACCTCTTCGTATGGCCAGAACTCGTTTTACCTTGAAAGTTCGCTATGGTGACCCTGGAAAAGCTGTTCTAAGAAAGAAAAGGAAGAATACTACTGCAACATCTTTTTCTAAGAAACTACGGGTAGGAAGAACTGGTGAAGTACCTCTTGTGTCAAAAAATTAGGATAATAGTATCATTAGGGAAAGAGGAGAAGATTGCTTTTGGGAAGCAGTACGTGCAAAGTAAATAGTTAGGCATCCATGTGCATCCGCTGGCTATCATTGGGATCGTATTTGTAATGAAGCCGCCCTAGATAGAAGGTGTTCCATCCCATGAACGTTAGTATTGAAGTTT